GTCCCCCCCCCCATTTCAAGACATCTAGATACGCCACTGACTTACATGGCCAGATGAATGAAAATACTCAATCGATGTGCCACCAAATGGTAACCAACCTTCACCATGCCCTCACGGTGTCACCTGGGACGCAACTGCCAAAAAACTATTTTGGCAGCGAGGACGCTACCAATAAACAATTAACAAACTACCAGGCTTCTGGATTGATTTGCAAGGTACTACATGGCTCAACTATTTTTTACTTAGTGGTTAATTGGTAAAAATCGCACACAAATCATACGACGTCACTGACAACGCCGGGGACGGCAACTCGATTTTCGGATTAATTTTCCGAATAAAGTTATACTAAATAACTTCTAATGACAACCTATTGTCTTCAGTTGTCTTTGTTGGTCATTCAACTGTCGTTTTATCTATTTTTTTCGTCGGAAGGTATCAAGAAGATAAACAAGTTTCATTAGACTAAATTCTTGCCACTGCGGTTGGATTCCAAGGCAGCCACGGATATTTGACGAATTATGGCGAATTTTTATTACTTATTTGATAATATGACTTCATGTAGGCTATGTTTTCTAATGTCGAAATCAGCTTCCAAAACCAAAACATTTTGAATAAAACAAGAAACAAAGAGTTTGCAATTTAACCATCTAATTTCCTTACAAATCCTCTTTCTTTAAAGAGAAATTCTACATTATGGAAATTTTGCACGAAATCTGTCAACCACGATGTCAAGGTCGAGGTTGCTTCCCCTATCGCGATGTATCCCAAGCATCATGAGGCTATCCAAACGAGCATTTGTCACCAACAGAACGCAAAATATTTTAAATTAGTGTCATTGAACTATTATTATTATTATTATTATTATTATTATTATTACTATTATTATTATTATTATTATTATTATTATTATTATTATTATTATTATTATTATTATTATTACAATTATTATTATTATTATTATTAATATATTATTATTAATATTATTATTATTATTATTATTATTATTATTATTATTATTATTATTGTTATTATTTTTATTATTGGCGCCACCACTGGATTCAATAATCTGCTGTATACCTTGCTTTGCCATTTTCGATAGGTGAATAGGACCTAATTGTAAATTTAGAGCACTGGTGAATATTTATTACTTCGTAATTTACATAACGAATTATTTATAAACCATGCTTCCTCCGATGTCATTATTTAGATATAATGGAACTCGACTTCAACGGTTATTTAGGCCTATATATAATTGGAAGTAAAAACCATTATTTATATATAATGACATTGACACGATAACATGTGTACATTACATATAGTGAGTTTGAAGTCCAAGCATTATGGTTTTGCGACAGCTATTATTTATATATAATGAAATGTAAAAGCAGTTATTTATAAATAATGAGTTTGAAGTCAATTCTTTATTTATATATAATGAAATCAGTGAACTTATTATATATAAATAATTGTAAGTAATACTTTTCATTATTTATATATAAAGATTTGTTACCTTTTTATTATTTATATATAATGGAATCAGTAAACTTATTATATATAAATAATTGAAAGTTATTTTTCATTATTTATATATAATGATGTGTTTCCCCTTCCTTATTTATATATAATGAAGCCAGTAACCTTATTATATATAAATAATGTTGGGTTAGCCTTTCATTATTTATATATAATGTAATCAGTAAACAAATTATATATAAATAATGAAACGTTAACGCAATTATTTACATATAATCTTTTAGAGGTAAATGCACTATATATAAATAATGGGTGATCTAGTCAATTATATGTTAAATAATGAATTACATATAAATTATTGTGTTAAATAATAAATTTACACTTGGCGCCTCATACATTTGTATTCCCCTTCCCCTAGCTACCCGAAATGAAATAGTAGACTCCAAACAGACGTAGCGCGGTTATGGAGATTGAACATGACCGAAGCCTGTTTTGGCATCATACTTTATATACCGGTACCTGGGGCCCTCCTTGAGTACGACGATCATTCTCCAAGTGCTGTTTTATGGAGCGCCGTTAGTGCCTTTATGTATGATGTAATTGTATCATGACCATAATAGGTACATCATGACTACATATGGCATTTACAACAGTTTTTGTCAAAAAAAAAATGGATAGTCTGGACAGGGCTTTGGATTTGGAGTCTGTCCAGGTAAAAAAAATCCATTAGTGTCCAAATTGGTGTCATAATGATAGCCCATATGGGGAACATTATGAATGTAACCGATGCCCATATATGGGTCCCATGGGGTAGCCACCAAAACCAGGAAAGGCCCATATGGATGTGATACTATACGGTTGCATACATTGTCATGATTCGTCAGCCGATGCAGTGTGAGTCAGCCTTCAATGATAGTTTAGATAATATTAAGGCTTATGTTGCAATAAAATAGTAGGAATGACGAGCTCCATTATAAATGTCTCCATAATGCACATGCTGTTGCTTAACAAAATGTGACCCTATAGTGTTCGAGAAATACATTGAGATCCAGACACCATTTATAAAGCTGATCATAAAAGGGTTTTATTTGTCTAATGCGTGACCACAAGACGCAGCTTGCTCACACCGGTACTCCGAGACTCGTCTCTCTCCCTAGTCTCTTCCTATCCTATCGGGTGGCCCACGAGACTATTTGCGGGACCATCCCATAATATGTATGCTAAATAGTTGAAAGGTTACAAAAACATATTAGTTTGTAGTCTAAATTAAACCATACCGGAGGTGGATTCAAAGGAGCCAGGCCATCCACTCCTTTGAATTTGTTATTTAAATACTGTAAATGGGGAAAAGATAAACATAATATTGCAATCAAAATCACGATTTACTATCTCTGGTTTTAATCATTTGATATAATAAATGGTGACACTCTTTCTTTTGATTGATTGTCATACAATTACAATAATTATCTACAGCTTGCTAAAAGGATGTTTAAAAATGTAGGCCTATTCGTTAGTTTTCAATAAATAGATCTGCAAAAAAGTCCAGTCCTATCACGTCAGGCCTAAACACGATTTCCATGTACACCTGTATATCTTATTAAAACGAAACACAGAAACGCAATTTCCTTAAATTGAATTGAAGCAAAAACAACCATCTAATAGTAACTTTTTGTTCTTTCGGAAATTCATGGCTCATAATTGCTCATTGTCCGTCATAAAGAACTGAAAAGTATAAACATTATAATATGATTATTATATTATGATTGTTGGTAGATCTGGAAATACTTCTGCCAATGAATGATGCTCCATTTGAAAAATATTTAGAAAGTGTAAACTTAGATGTTCGAGTACCGTAGATTATTTTCAATTAGATTCATGACGTTATATGCATTATATGATTAATTGAGTGATCTGCACATATATGCCATTATATTGTAATTTAAACGCTTTCTGCGTTACAGTACTTGTATACACATTTCATTTTCTCACTGTGCTATTTTGACATAAAAATGAGTGCCAATCAAACATAATAGCTGACCAATTAGAACAGGGTGAGGAATACGCGTATGTCCCACTAATACAGGTTCTTACATACCGTTTATGCTGTCAGTTTGTGGGTATATAATAAACTCCATTATTTCTAATGGGGCGGCGGGGCTAGTGGAACGTCCATTACAACATTGTTTAGCATGTTTTGACTTATTTGATTGTTGGATTCAACACGCTAATTGTACCGGTTGCATCATTTTTACTGTAAATAGAATCTTCGAATTCATCAAGATACGGACTGCGCTTACCGTCAGAATGTAGCCATTTCATTATGAACTGATCTTTCAGTCTAGGTGTAGGGCTTTCGAAGATCTCTAACAAGTTAACTTCAGTTCCACATGCATTTGTTTTGTAATTTGTAGCATTTGCATGTGCTACGTTTATCAATGTATTTTCCTCGCGTGTAGATGTTACACTTTCCTTTGGATCAACGACCATTTGCGGTTCAATTTTGTAGTCCAGCAATTCGTTCTTCTTGGAATATAATTTACACGAGTTCGCACATAATTCTGGCAAATTCGCATCAGGTTTTGTAGGTTTAGCATTCGGCGTCATACATTTTGAGAAAATGTTTCTATTGCGGTGTGTAATCGACGTACGATATGCATGAGTTTTCCTTGGAAATTTATTTGGTTTGAACATGGGCGGGGCGCTTCCAGGCGTTTGTAGTGTCTTGATTTGGGGTAGTCTACTCTGCTTATAGATTCGACTTTTTTCAAGGTCAGGTAAACTATTGATGCTTCCTCTTTTGATGATATCATCTTCTCTCATTGACATCTGACTATCTTGCACTAGTAAACTGCTTTTCAAAAGTGCCATTTCTAAAAATAATTCAACAATACACTATTATTTAAATTTCGAGACAGCAACAGCTAGCTTTCTATAAAGGGAAATCAAAACATGAAATATATAATATTTTGACCGAAAAAGAGGAATCTGCGAGTGCGAAGAAATGGTCCTAAAACGGGATTCTGTTGTTTATGCCAACGCCTTCCAGCATTGAGGCCTCTTTGGGAATTCAAATCCGAATAAATCAGTAATTTTTGCACATGCGTAGGCCTTGATGCATGGCAAATAACAGAGATAATCATAGCATTAGGCCCCTACCTCAAAATGGTAGGGTATCTAAATTACATTATGATTTATACTGTTATAATGTACGTATATATAGTGTGGTTTATCAATCAGAAAATGTAAGAAACAATAGGGCCTATAAAGGCCTATATATATATATATAATATATATATATATATGTGTGTGTGTGTGTGTGTGTGTGTATGTGTGTGTGGGTGGGTGGGTGTCTATGTGTAAAAACAATAAAAGAGACGACGATGTATAATCACTTAAGGTTGACTTGCGGAACACAAATTCAAAATATAATAAAATAGAACGGACGATCGGTAGCTCCTTCTGGCTTTATCAACGTTAAAGTTGATGGTTTAGAAGGTAATCAATTTTAACGTTGATAAAGATAGCAGGAGCTATCAAAATATCCGTTCTATTTTATTATATTTTAACAAATTTGTGTTCCGCAAGTAAACTTGCAATGATTGTAGATCGTTCATTGTTTTTTACATTTTATTTTACTTGAAAGCACACATGCAGGCTACTATGGATAACTGTAACGTCATAAAACTATCGTGTTAATAATTTCAGTGAATTTGTTTTTAGCTGTTGTAGGATTTAAAGCGTGAGCACTGGATTGGAAGGTCATCAATTAAACACAAGTGCAAATTAAAATGCCACTTCCATTATAAGTCTAAAAGTGACGAATGTGAAAAAAACACCACCAATTTTGCCATGGCCTGTAATAATGGCGAAGGGAAAACTTAGCATGGTTATCCGTACTTCGACACACATAGCAATTTTATACTATTTGTGCTTTCTCAAAACTGACTTTTTTACCGTTTTCATGAACATCGTTGAACATTTAAACAAAATAATGTTTAATATTTATATATCTTTATAGTTAATGATTTAAAGGAAACTTTTCCGCAGTCGCTTAAAACTAGGCCTATATAGTTTACTCACCAATTGTGGTTTCACCTCCTTTATGTCTTTTACAACCGTTGTGTCCCTATAACGTAGTCTAATTTGTTAAAGAGGCAGTAGTAGATTTTGTCACTGACTATTCGATTCGAAAAATTAATACAATTGTCAGGAAATCAATTAATCGACTCATGCTTTATTCTAAATGTGGTCTGCATGAAAGATTGTGTACACGCTTGACAAAGATTTAGAAATTATTTAACGATTTTAGTCAATCTTATTGTCTTTTCATTGCGCTACTCATATCCATCTATCCATCATAATATCTTATAATTTGCTGCGTCACAGGCTACTGTGTAGCAACAGTATAACTCAAAACAATATGCCTACATTGATCTATCATACTTCGTCCGATATGCTAATTATGCAATTATAATATTGTAAATTTTTGTACAAGCCAGTGGAAAGCAAATTTCCTACTTTTGGACCATACGGAAGCTCGTGCCACCAATAATAATAAATAATAATAATAGTGTAGTTTTATATAGCGCACATATCCATCTAATATAAGATCAGGGAACCTGAGTGAATTAAAATTTCAGAGCCGCTAAGTGGCGGCTGCCACATAATTAAAGTTAGTCACTTAGAGACTATAAGGTGCCATATGACATATTAATAGGCCTTTCTGTTTTACATTTCATTTTTGATCAGATGTTCTTTTTGTTTCACTAATACCACTTTTACACTTCTAGCCGAAACAAACACCGGTGTGACACCGCAGCCAAAACACACATTTATACTTAACGAAGAAACTGCGGGATGATCTAGGGTCAAACCCATTTACAAAACACCGACTGAACACCGGTGTTGAACGCTGCCCTAATTGGACATTTTTGAGGAAAATTAGCTCATTAGTCTGCAATCAAATTTAGTTTCGCAGGGGTGGGTAAGACATTTAATTTATTTGTACACTAAACACCGAATAAATTAAACAAAGATATAAAATAAAATATAACATAACTTATTACATTATGTTTATGATACTAAATACGTTCAAAATATACACACAAAAAAAAAAAAAATAAATAATTTTAATGAACGTGGATGATTAAAATCCCGAAATAAAT